TGTTTTTAAACTCCTGCCGACATGGAACTACATGTCACAATAGTTTCGCAATGGACCACTTCATAGATCTCTGTTATACCGTTAGAACCTCATTTTGCATGAAAAAAAGACACTAAATTCCTTAATTTGATACTTTGAAATTGAGCCCGTTTCGTCTCCATTTTTGATGCGTAATATACATTTTTCAGTAGTTGTTTTGCGAATTAACTAGAATGTTCGGGGAACTTTGGCACGGCTCAATGCATATTTTGAAATAATGCTACCTTCACCTCACAGGCGTTTAACACGAATACTCTTATACCAGCTATTAGTCAGTATTCTTAACTTGAGACGCCGTAAAATTATAAAACTTAAAATCTATGAAGTCTACTCGACATATAGACTCTGAGTTCTCTCAGTTAATTTTAACATTGAATCCTAATTCCTTAGCTAATCAATACCTCAGAAATCGTCTGCGTGAGCTCCTCAGAAAGCTTAATATGCTCGGCACTGTGTCCTTCATGATGTGTAGTTTGAACTGTAGTCTTTGGTAGTTTCACAACGATCTCCCTTATTATCTTCCCTCGAAAACAAAATCTCCTGACCCTCGTTAAAGAAAATATAATGATTATTACCCTGCATGCTAAGAGAAATGTATCTTATTTAAACATATCAGTGGACCTCTGAAGGCTATTTTTCTGACAAAAAAATTCATGCCATTCAGCGTGACAAGTGTAGACCACTTAAGCTTCACAGTTATCAGAGAGAAAGTTATCTAAGAGCAATCTCTATCAACAAAAGCAGTAACGTCTACAGTGGTTATCACAGACGGCCTATTACAGACAGCTCATGTCAGCTGAAGGCGGCCATCGCTATCACAGTGTTAATTCTATGCGGACAGATTGCAAATGAAAACAGGAGGATAGACAATGTGTTCTTTCGGATTGATGGCTGCAATCTGTTTATTTTGATGGCGTTATTTTAAAAGGACAGCACACGCGTCGGAAGGTGCAATGCGAATAAATTAACTTCAAAGTTCAACGACTCAAAGTGTTGAGTTGATCGAGTTAATACTGTGAGAACGACAGAACAACGACGACGAGTCACAAGACTGACATTCGTATTCCATCAGTTAAGAGTTATTTGAAAAGAAAAGTCTGTCTGTATGTTTTTGATTGTCTAACTGGAAATGTTTGCACGCCTTTTAAGAACTATTTTACAAGGGTAAGTCACAATGTCAACACAAGAAATAGATTTTCCTCGATCGAACGGCCGAAAATGAACTTGGAGTTTGGCTGTCGGAGTTTTTCGTTTTTAGGGGCTTCAATTTTTAACAGTTTACCGGCGGAC